AAAGAAATATCAAGAAAAAAAAATTTCTTTAACTCACACTGGAGAAATAAATTCAAATATAGATTTAAATTTTAAAATTACAAAACAAAAAATTGCCATCACTGAAAAAACTATTTTAGTTTATAAATAGAATTGAAAGGACCATTCATAAATTTTGTAATATTAATTAATAATTAATTTTTCTTTTTTATAATGATAATAATAATATAATTCTTTTACACATAAAAACTTTATGCAATTTATGAATGGATCAAAAAGCTACATTCCATTAATTGAAATGTTCAGCATGTTTATATTAACTACAAATAATTCGATGCATTTGCATTATATTTTAACACTAAAACGTGTTATTTCTATAAAGAAGTGAAAAATTATTGTTCATAAATGTGGTCCAAAATAAGCTTCTTAAAAAATTTGCCTGATACTTTGCTCTTTTTTTTTTTTTTTATTTAATGTTAATTTTAAAAAAATAAGATGTTAAATTCAAAAAATTGAATTTATTTTTTAATTTTCTAAGAAGACTTTTTGGATCAGAATATTGATTTTGCGATAGAAATATACTATAGGCTATTTGTTTTTTCTTGTCGCATCTAGTCTTCATGTACACATCTCAGTTTGTGCCCATTCTTACGTTTTCGAGTAAATATCATCAATCTTTCACAATATATAGAATCAAAATCTAAAGAATGCGCAAAAAAATACTATATTTAAAAATATATTTTCTCAAAGAAAAAAGTGTGAAAAAATTTATTTTCCTCTCTTTTTTTTTACTCATAAATATGTCGAAATAGTTTGGGCCCATAAATAAATATTTATTTCAAATAACGAAAAAAAAAAAGATGGAATGTATGAAATTTTTGTATATTTATTGGGCACTATATAAAAAAAAAAAATTAAAAATTATTTTTGATTGTAATAATTTTTATATGAATTTCATATATAAAATAAGGAAATTTTCATTTTTTTTTTAATTTGATAGAAATAACTGAAGTTATAATTTTTGTACACTAATTTGTCAGAAAATTACAAAAATAACATTTTTAAAAAGTTTATTATTTTCTTTTTAAATTCAAAATTAAAAAAAAAATAAATAAAAAGAAAATTGTAAATCATTTCACAATATTCATTTGTGAGTAACATTCAATTATTTACAAAATTCAACTATATCTTCTTTCGACAACACCGAATTAATTTACATTATTCATTTAATAGCAATAAAAATTCAATTATTTTCAATATTCAAAAAAATTTTCATTTCTTTTTTTTTTAATGTCAATAATTTAAAAATTCAATTATTCCACAATACTTGTAAAATTAATAGTGTCGCGTTAAAAAATGGAATTTATTAAAACATATTTAATTTTAAAATAATTAGGGTAAATGCACTAATTGCGGCGAGATTCTAGTCAAAAAACCTTTGAAATAGAAAATTCGACATTTCTATTGTATAAACTCAATTTAAGACTTATTGAACTAAAAGTTTATGTTATTTAGATATTAAGTCCAGGTCCAAGTGAGGCAGCGCCATCTACATTGAAACTATAATTTTGGAAAATTTTCAACAGCCTTTTCTCGACAACAAGAAGGTAAAATGCGTTTTTCTTTATGGATAATTGATTATTAGCAAGAAATACACTAGCTAAAACTTTTTTTGGGTTAAAATGATGAAAAAAAATTTCATGTCGATAAATTAAATATGAGCAGTTTTTTCACAAAAACTGTAACAGTACTTTCTCGGAATTAACAATCAAGAATACAATTTCCATTTGGAAAATTAATAAACGTTATAAACAATACATCAGCTAAGATTCACCAAACACGAAAATAATAAAAAATTTTATTACATATTTAACATATGGACACTGTTTTACTGATTGTGACAGACCTTTGGTAGATTATGTATTTCAGGTGGTTAGCAACAGCGCCAATCTCCTCCTTCCGGCAAAATTGCGAAACGTCTGGTATATAACCTGCCAAACGGCTGCATAATTAGTAAAATTTATTATGTTAAAAAACTTTTTTTTTGTTATTTTCATGATTGGTAAATCTTAGCTGGTGTATTTTTTAGCGTTTATTAATTTTCCAAATGGAAATTGCATTTTTGATTATAATTTCTGAGAAAGTACAGTTTTTGTGAAAAAAAGTGCTCATATTTAATTTATTGACATGAAATTTTTTTCATTATTTTAACTCAAAAAAAGTTTTAGATTGTGTATTTCTTGCCAATAATCAATTATCCATAAAGAAAAAAGCATTTTATCTTCTTGTTTTCAAGAAAAGGCTGTTGGAAATTTTCAAAAATTTTAGTTTCATTGTAGATGGCGCTGCCTCACTTGAACCTGGCCTTAAAAAAAATTTTATCTTTATAAAAATCGAATATTTAAACAAATATGAGAAATTAAAACTAATACCGTAATTTTCTATTGCGGCACATTTGTATCAGTTTGGGTGACTAAAATTACGTGTATTTTGAAGATACTTTGCCCGCCGAAATTGAAGCCAATGGAAATCTTAAAAATATTACAATTGCGGCGTGAAAAAAATTTGATCTCAAAAAATAATTAAATTAATAATTGTTTAAATGTGCATCTTTATAAGTAATTGTATTAAAAAAAAGATTGAAATAATTTTTTTAATCATTTTGTAACAGTTATATTAAATATAATAGTAATAATAGTTATTTTTTATGAACGCGCCGTAATTGGTACACTTACCCTATTTAGTTAAAAAAATTAATTGCTGCCTGCCTGCAGGAGTTGTCATGGCAACGTGTAGGAGTAACAGAGATAGTAAATTCAAATTTGAATTTTCTCTCTCTTTTACTCCTGCACGTTGCCATGACAACTCCTGCTGACAGGCAGGCAGCCAGAAGGTGTGAGTGCGCCCTTAATCATGTGAGATACATGAAGTATCTTCAAGCATGCGCGTAAGCAGCTGCGCTTGGTGACTTTTTCTGACAACGCGCATTCTTGATTTTGTATGGTTATGTGTATGTATTCACACGTGTCAATTTTCAGTCAAAATGTGTCAATTTTGCAAAAAAAGTTAATTTTAATGTGGGATGCAAATCTCAATTATCTGCATTGACAGAAACATTTAAAAAAATTGTAGAAAAAGATTCCTTCTTAAAGGTTATGTTCGCCGGAAAAATAATAATTTTTCAAAAATTAGAAAATAATAATTAAAGGGAAGGAATTTATCATTCGGCAGTAATATTAATTAAAGTTATTAAAAGTTAGCAATCTTTCCGAATCAAATTTTTTCATTAGAAAATAATAAATTAATCGACGTGGGTGTCAAATATTGATGACGTCATAAAACCAGACTGAAACATATTACGTATCTTAGAGGATGTACGTGCCTTGGTACAGTAATTTTGACATGGCGAACTCTTAACAAACCTTTCTGTAGGAGGCTTTCATGCCTTTAGAAAAGAATGAATCCAGTATAACTGGAATTGGAGGAATTTGTACCGTCACCGCCAGTGCTGTGCCAGTCTCGACTACAGTTGTGATATGTATGACAGGGTCAACAGTGGGAAGTAATACAAATGTGGTATGGTCGACGCCCTCAGAGGTTTGTACTCCAAGTGCCACATCCAGTTCTTGGAGAGTTCGACAAATCAATACCGGGATGCATATTTTCTAGTTCTAGTTCGGAAAAAACGATAGAGGAAATGTCGGAGATGGTACGAGGAATTAGGGGGAAGGATACAACCAAAAAGGGGATCAAGACAAGCACATGGGCAGAAGGAAAACCACCACAACCACCCATAATAGAAAGAAAGGTCTCGCCATCGAACCCCCTTGCAAACCCTAGCACCAGCGACGAAGAGAATCCCAAACACAGTCAACCACCACCCAGCCAGTCCACCAGACAACTTCCACCCCGTATGTCAACGAGTCAGGACTAAAGGAGCTTAGAGCAGCAATGGAAGCAGCAATTGATTCAGCTGTCAAGGACCCAGGAGTCCATATAATTCAAAGTGGAACTAATTACAATTTATAAAAGAAACTCTTTATCTCTGGTTTAGACCCATTATGAGCAATCACTCCAAGGACACAGTTACAAGCAGCCAATGACTATCTATCATCAGCCAAAGTCTGTTTAAATGAACTTCGCAGCTTTAACGGGGAAAAGATGTGCGCTGCCACAAAGTCTCAGAAGAAGAGGTTAAGAGAGGGAACCTCTAATGAAGATGAGGAAAAACAAGATCCACAACAGAAAGGAAAAGAAGTTCAAGGGGAAAAATAGAATCTAACAAAGGAACAGACGAATCAGTGGGAGTGTTCCACGACCACCGTGGAAATTAAAAATTGTCGCGAACCCAGCCTCCCACAGTGAAGAGTACAATGGAGCCAAAACTAACCGAACCAAAGTCAGTTGCATCAGTGTTGAAAAATGTTGCAGCTCAAGGCCCGGTTGTTGAAAAATTGCCGGAGGTTTCTACGGAAATGATTGGAGCAACCCAGGTTGTTCCTACTTTTGCGATGGAAATGGTTAAGGGATTGAGAGAACTCGACCGTTTGTTACAAAGAGTGTCTCCAGAACTGGTAGTGGAATCCAAGAACTGGTTCCTTCGAGGTTTAAAATAAGGCGTCCTTTGAGGACAGTATTTTGATTTAAAAAAAAAGTATTATTTTTTGATTTTTCTTTATTTTATAAATATATTTTCTCGATTTTCCGAGCTGCGAGATAAGGATCCGATGAGGAAGAAGGACTTTAGCGCGCAGTGGCGATCGAGACTTTCCTTCTTCATTTGACAATCGATGAGACGACACGTTTTTCCCATGAGGTCGCGGATAAAGAGGGTTAATTATATTTGTTAAGTAATGGTTTAATTTGTAATTATTTGTGAGCGACTTTATTTCTAATAAAGAGATTTATTAGTGTAATCGGTGTTTAACTGGAGTTGGAGTATTGCCTCAATTGCAGCTCGAGGAGAATTACGGTTGAAGACATCGTGGGTAAGTCTTGGCTTCCTTAGGTTCGTTAGTCTCGCCGTTTTGCATCGTCGGTTTTTGTTTGCCAGAATCTCCCCAGAGAGAGAACGAGGTTTCGGGATATAGGTTTTGTCTTAATAATAATTATCAACGACGCGCTATAACTTATTTAAAAAGCACGTCGCAACTGAAAATGTGTGAATATAATTTAACATGAACGGGGGAGAAACGAAATTTCTCATTTATCACTACTTTGAAAATCTAATTCCCATATTTGCTTACAAGAAAAAAAAACCTTTTTAAGAATATTTTACTTCTGAAGATGTTAAATTAAAAAAATATAATTTCCATCAAATATAAAAAAAAATTAATTTCTTTTTTGTTTTTACTCTTTAAATTTGAATCAGTGAGATTTTACTAATGAAATAGTGGGAATTTAGCAACTAAATCACTTTAGTAAGATTTACACTGAAATACAGTCATATTTCACTAAAAATGACTTAAATTATTTACTGATTGGAACAATTAAATCTGCATCAGTAAAAATTTATCTGATTTTTAGTGAAATGAAACTGAATTTTAGCTAAAATATCAATGAAGTGATTCGGTTGCTAAATTTAAACTATTTTATCATTGAAATCTTACTGATAAAAATTTAGAGAGTATAAAATTCGAAAAAATGCTTCCAAATCAAAATTGATTTTTAAGGAGGATGGAGGCACTAACAACCTCAAAACTGAAAAATGGTTTTTAACGTAAACAAAATTTTAAATAAACTTTAATTTCTAACAATTTTAGAAGATCTAGTTATACACTTTTTGGAAAAAATTATAATGATTCTAGCTTTTATTAAATAATAATTTTTTTAACATTTTGACTTTTTTCTTTTAGAACAGACTAAAATAACAACTTTTATAGCTCTGAAAGAAAAGTAAAAAAATTGAAAAAATTATTATTTAAAAAAACATTATGATTCTACATAATTTTTTTCCAAAAAGTGTATAACTAGATCTTCAAAAATTGTTTGAAATTATAGTTTTGAGGTTACGTTAGGGCTTCCACCCTTCTTAAGATTGTTCAACGGTCTCTAAAATTCTTTGGCAAAGGGGGAACCTTTAATTATCGTTCTATAAAAACGCCACTGAACGTGAAAATGATAAACATTGATTTTAAAACACTTTTTTCTTGAAACACGGACACTTTTTATAAAATCGACCAACGTACTAAGAATTCTTATCATATAAATTTCCTAAATCCAGAAGATTTTTTGAATCCATGCAAAAACGCGATAGCAAAATTGGAAATAAGAAAGTAATAATAATGACAGCTTCATTATGTCCTGCTGCCGTTAGATGGCAGAAGCATGCAGGAAGCACAAAGTCGCAGCTGTTATTATTATTACTTTCCTATTTCCAATTTTGCAATCGCGTTTTTACATGAATTCGAAAAATCTTTCAGATTTGGGAAATTTATAAGATAACAATTCTTCTAAAAATCAATGTTCATCATTTTCACGTTCAGTGCCGTTTTTATAGGGCGATAATTAAATGCCAAAGAATTTCAGCGTTGAACACTCTTAAATGAATATTTCACGAAATTATCATTAATACTTTTCATTTTATCAATGTACTTTCATTGAAAAGTACATTCTTCTTTTGAGCATTCGCAAATTTGATTTAATTCTAAAAGATTGATGATTCTCGAAAAATGTACGCGCACCCCAGACGCTGAATAAACAGAATCCTTGGTATTCTTAATAACTTTATCTCGATGTGAATCACGATCATCATCAGAAAAATTGCAGACAGAGAACAAACTCACAATCACATTGATGATGATGATGATGATGATGAAGAAGGCATTTACATCCAATGTTGATGCGATTTGTTGGCCTTATTTCAAACAATGGTTCTTGATTTGATGAAATTTTGTCAGACGCTCGATGAGTGCGAGGAAGAAGAAGAAGGCGGCGGCTGTGTAAAAGATGTCGTCGTTGCCGACGTCATTGAATTTGATGGTGAACTTACAACTACAACGGGTTTAACGAGGGCGGTGGTATTAAGATACTGAGCGTTGACAAGAGGTCCCACGGATTTGAGAATTGGCGTTGTTATCATTTTTCCAGCAAGACTCGATGGCGCCAATATGTGAGCTGTCACTTGATTACCCTGGGAAACAACGGCCATTGGCGTGACAATTGGCGTTAAACCTGATAGAGGTGTATGCTGGCCAACAATGTGAGCAATACCCTCTGTGGACGGAGCATTTTGCACCACTGCCGCTGTTGTTGAATTCCCCTTCCCCGTGGTTGATTGAAGTGAAACTCCCGCATGGCTCAAGGCCAATCCTGTGATCAAATTATTACCAACGTCATATATTTCAATGATAATTGTATTATTATTATTATTATTTCACTCTCATTCCAAATTTATAATATTTGTCTAGATGGATTATTTTTCGAAAATAAAAATCTCTAATAGTATTTTTGTTTGCATTTTGTTTATTTGTAAAAAAAAACTGTCTTTGAGTCAATATAACATAACCTCAAATTGAAGGATGGAACTTTTAAAGCCTGAGCTGAATAGAAACGTAACCGGAATCGTAATCGCAAACACAACAAGAAGAATGAGTTAGAAAAGGATAGATATATTGTTTGTCCTTCTTTAACTCATTATTTCGGTTACGATTCCGGTTACGTTTCTCTTCTGCTCAGGCCTTAATTTTACAAAAGTTATTTAGGTAACGGGTACAGTGACCAACACCCTGGGAATACTTTCAACATTAAATGACATTTTATCGGAATTTATTAAAGATTTAGTTAAAAAATAAATTTCAAATAAAAGATTTGGGTTATTGGGAACTGCTAAACTACAATACGCCATCTGGTGAGAGACCGATCTCTTACTCCATTTTCCTTCTTTGTCTCTCTTCAAATAACATCTTAGAAAGAGGAGAAAAATCAAAATGGAGGGAGAGATCGGTCTAAAGTTACTAGATTATTACTAGACCACCGATCCCAATAATTTATAAGTTTAAAATTAAAAAAAAAAACTTTGATAAAAGTTTATAATATTAATTTAAAAATGTATGGTATGAAAACAGTGAATGACATCCTTTAATAAAATAAAAAAATATTTAAATTACTATTTAAGTAACATGATATTTATATTAATATTATCACAAATTTTATTATTCAGATTTAATGTAGAAAAAAAGTTGCTTTTAAAATATAATTATTTAACAATTTCTTTATATTTATAAAATTTGTAATCAATAAAGTAAAATTTTTTGAGGTTAGTTTTCTAGAAAGTAAAATATCGGGAAAAATATAAACATATATCAACTGTATCAGTTTCTAAATATTGTATATATTAATTAATTTACTAGTGATATTTTATTCAATATTATTATTTTTATAGTTATTATCGTTTTTAATAGCAGGTGTCGTTCACTGTCAGGGTGTCGGTAAACTCTTCGTAAAAACAAAATCAATTTTCCATATTAAATTGTCCCTTTTAGAAAAAACCAATATAGGAACCGATTAGGTTGGAATTTGAGGTTATGTTATGAGACAATTTGTGGAAAATCCAAATATAGTTTGTAAACAGAAAAACCTATTTTTCCCAATTAAAAAGTACAATTAAAATATCACAAAAAAATTTATTTTCAATTCTTTTTATCCTCCTAAAAATTAATAAAAAAAATTTTTGACTAAAAACTAGAGCATAAAATCAAATTAAGCATTTTTTTTCTCATATTTCTAGTGGAGTAAAATGAAATTTTATTATTAAAATTCTATCTGTAATATTTTTGTAATTTTCATACGAAATAAACAAATCAAGAGAATTATTAATTAATTAATTAATTTTACGCTACTAAAAATACAAAATTTGGAAAAAGAAAAAAGTTAATTTCAATAATATAAAAAAAGAATTTACCCAATTGTATTTTGAATAAATGATAATACATAATAATTTATTTTGAATATAAATTAAAGAATTCTAAATTGAAAATAAGCAATATTTACATTATTTTTTTAAAAAATTAAAAATATAACATTTTTAAAAATTTATATTTTTATTCAAAAACAAATTAAAAATTAATTCACACTATTAATTCAGTAACAATAGAATTCAATTATTTTTTAAATCTTCGTTCTTTCTGGTCAGTTTTGTTTTAAGGACGAGTTGCACAAAATAGTAAAAAAATTTTAATATTTTTATTTTTAAAAAAATATTTTTTTTTTCATTAAAAATATGAGCAATTTTATTTTCAAAACACTTTGAATCATTTGCATTTGAATAAAGATTACAAATTACAAAAATTATTAAAACTAGATTTTTTCTATTCTTTTGATTTAATTTTAATGGAAAATAATTATTTTAGAAAAAATAAATGATTTTTGAAAATTTTCATTGTCGAAATCGACTTTTCTCAAAAATTCGCAAAAACGATGAAGAATTATTAAAACTAGTTTAATTCTATTATTTTCCACAATAATTAAATTAAAATAATAGGAAAAAAATATTTTTTAGAATTTTTATATTATATTAGCCAAATTGATTTTTTACTGGCAGAAAATTTGTAATTTGTATTAAAAATCAATTTACAATGGTTCAAAATATTAAAAAATAAATTTTATTTTTTTATTTAAAAATTCGAAAATATGGAATTGCACTAACTTTTGTTTCGATTATTTGTCCTATCAGCCATTAAATTTATTTATTTACAATTTCGTCGTCTGACCAAAAAAGTCTTTTTGTATGCTTAATTTTTCTATTTTTATGTTTCAAGTCGTTCAATTTATTTATATATTATTTTTATAAATTTATACACTGATTAAAAAATTATTTGATTCAAATAATCGGTTACTTGACCATTTTCAAATAAATATTTACTTGAAGCAAATAATTTTTATTTGAATTAAATAAACTTTATTTGAACCAATAATTTCTGTATTTGAAACAAATAAAATTTAATTGTCACAGATAAAAATTATTTGGATCAATTAATAATTTATTTGATAATAATCAAGTAATCGATTACTTGAATCAAATAATTTTTTTTTCAGTGTATTATTATTATTTGTAAATGAATATTAAAAAATTCAAAATATATTTGAGAGAATTTTCTATTTCCAACTTTTATCTAACTCATTAAAGAACTATTTTCTTAAAAAATAAATAAAATTTTTTACTAAATAAATCCCGCTATTAATAATCGAAGTGAATAAAAAAATTATTGAAGAATATTATTTAATTCCGTCTAAAATGTGAATTAAACACTAAAAACAATATATATTAGTAAATTCTTCTGTTTTGAGAATTTTTTTTTTTTTTATGAATTACTGTATAAAGGGTTTTTTTTATCTATATTTTTTCTAAATAAATTATATTGATTATAGATTTTTAAAAAATAATCCAATAACCACACAAAGCAAGCAATTTACATTTGGAATGATTCATTTGATAAAAATTAATTTTTCCAAACTTTCATTTCATTTATGTAAAATTCACTGTAATTTGCATTCAACATATTGTGACGTGACGGTTTGAAGACACAAAAAATTCTCAACCTTGTCGATTTTAAAAATTCATCAAATTAAACATAGGTACATTATTTAAGCAATTTTTCACGAATAATTTGATTGTCATTCTTTTTCTTAATTTATATAAAAATAGTTCCTTATTCTTAATTTTTTAAAAATAGATATTTTTTTAATTTTTCCTTTATCATAATTTATTTATTTTTTTTAAATAAAATTTCAAGAAAATATCGTTTTAATTCAGAATAAGTTTTTTTTTTTTTTTGAAATTTAGACTGAGAATTTTTAATATCTATAACTAATAACGTCATAATGTGTGATATGACAGTATTAATTCAATTAATTGACACTTATTTTATATCAATATTTGTGGATAACTAAATAATATCTTGTTTGTCAATAAATAATTTTATTATTGCAAGGCATGATAACAGCCTCGCAATTATTAAATATACATCTTTTGTTAAGGAGTACTTACAGGACTATTATTTACAATTGCTGTTGTTTTTTTTTCTTTCTTTTAAATGTTTTACATCAGCTTCATACAATTTAAAGAATCGCCGATTTTTTAAGTATCAATTTAAATTAATAATTTACTACCACAAAAATTTATTTCTAAACACTTGATCTCAAGGTAGAATTTTTTTTCAAACTAGATAATGTAAAAATATAATTTAAAAAAATTACACGAACACTCATATTTTATTAACGAGTGACTTTTTTCAAAAATGTCAAAAAAAAAAAAAAAAAAAAAAAAAGAATACACTTGAGAATCAGTGTTTAAAAATATGTTTAACTTAATCATTTTCATTGTGAATTTTACAAAAAAAAAAAAAAAAGTTATGGATATGTCGCACATATTCAAAGCGATTTGTCAACGATAACAATAAACCGCTCTGTATATGAACGTTTAATTTACAAAATAAGGTGCCAATAAGCTTATTATTATTATTATTTTCTTTTTAAGGAAACAAAACCCCTCAGATGAATTTTACTGCAAAATAATAAAAATAAAATAACATTGTAAAATGTTGGATAAAAAAAATAAAATGTGAGTTAAGAGAGTCATTATTTGATATTCTAGTGAATGTTATGTAGTTTTAAAAATAAAAAATTATTTCTTCAAAATAGTAAAAAAGAAAAAAAAAAAAAAAAAAAGAGAGAGAAAAAGAAAAAAAGAAAAAAAAATCGCTTCATGCTTGCGAATTTTTTTCGTAAAGCAGAATTTAATTTGATTTTAAATGAATATAAACAAAATTTTGTTAATGCGCAAGACGGTGAATTAGAACACGCCGATATGCGTATATTAGTCACCTCCTTGTATAGCGAGGGGTTGATGAGCCTTGAGGGAACGGAACACACCATTTGCTGGAAGAATATTCAGTTCTGCTCCTCCAGGCAATCTGGTCAACTCGGATCCATTGCCACCCACGAGTGTTACTCCACCAACCATTTTATGTGTCGTTTGAGCGTCGCCTGTCCTTAACCTTGTCTGAGCAGCTAAAACATTATTATAAACAAACAAAAAATATTATTATTATTTATTTTCTAATTTATTAAAAATACGAGAAAAAAAAATGTTGACCATTTTCTACATTTAGTTTTTAAATAAAATTTACCATACTCGTAATTCAATTTAGTAAAATTTACCATACGCCAAATTTAATTTAGTAAATTTTAATTTACTGATGCATATTTTGGATTTTTATTTATGTTAATTATTTATCACGAAATTTATTATATTTTATTATAATTATTATTATTATAATTGATATAAATAGTGAAAGTCAGACGTTTTAAAATCAGTAGTAAAAGAAAGTTATAGTCGGACATTAAGGTTTAAATTCTCGTAAATTTAGTATTATAGTTGTAAAAATTTGTTTCAGTCAAAAAATATCAATCTTTCCCATTTTTTTATGACTAGTAAAAATCAGACAAAAAATATTTAGAAGTCTTGTAATTTTATAATTACTAGAAAAAAATTATTTAATTCAGTCAAAATGGTTCAAAATTGTGTAATTCTTATTTGAGTAGTAAAAGTGAGCTTTAGTCAGACTAAAATTTGTAATTAATATAATAATTAAAATTGATTGGATTAATTAATTTATAAAATTGACTATATCCCAAATTAACTTTAGTAATATTGATCATGCTAAAAATTTAACAAAATAAAATTCACCATCCTTGGAATTTAATGAAAATTTGCATAAACAAAATTTGTCTTAGAAGAATTAAATACACTTAATCGTGAAATAAAAGAAAATAAGTAATTGTAAAAAATAAATAATTAATAATTGAGTAAAAATTTGGAATAATGTAAATTCGGCCTTATAAAATTCGACTTAAATAAATTACAAGAGCGAATTTTGGCATTGTAAGTCATTCTTTAAAAAAAAAACATTGTTTCGCAAGGGTTCCGAAGACTTTGTAAAGATAATTAGAATACCAATATAATTAAAAATTTTTTTAAAACAAAATTTGTTTTCAGACAAAATAAATGTTGGACATATTCAAAGCGATTCACAGAGTTTTGTGCCTATGAGCCGCTCTGCATATGTTCTTTTTTTTTCTCGCACCAACTTGTTTCACAATCGCTTATAAATATTATGCGTCATGACTTTGGTATATGATGCATTCACATTAAACAAAAAAAAATTCAGAATAATTTTTCTAGATTCAGAAAAAAGTAAATGAATTCCAAAAATTGATTTTCAAAATTTCCTAGTTTTTGCCTGACTGAAAAATTTAAAATCGCACTATAAAATTTTGTTATTTCTATACATACTTTATCTTATTTTCTTATTAAAAAAAAAATTTAATAACTTTTGTATAAAATACTTTTAATAATCTTTTAAGGTGATTAGGTCAAAATCATTAATGATAGAGAATTGTTTGAAATTTTCAGCAAAATTAAATAACATATCAATGTATATTTTTGTTAAAGATGTGTTTCTTTTACCGTACATTTTTTTCATATTATTATTGTTTAATGTTCACTATTTTTCTAAATGTTTAGCATTATGTTAAAGGCTGACGAGAGTGAAATAAATAATTTGTTAAATAATTTTAAATAACATTTTTTAAAAGTAATTCAATTTTCAAAGATTTACAATTTAGATTTTTGAAATTAATTGAACTTCAAGTGATTTTGAATTAAATTTTTTTAATGATTTCTATTACTAAAAAATTTATTAGAAATTGCAGACAAAAATATAATAATTTGAAAACTTTTTAAGTTAAAAAATGATTTCAGATAGTTGAATTCTCGAAGAATATTATAAAAATCATTAAAAATAATTGAATTTCAGAAGAGTTATAATTGAAATTATTAAATTTCCAAAAATTTTGGTAGAAAATTTTAGAAATAATTAAATTTTAGAAGCTTTTAAATGGAAATTTTTGAAAATAATTGAATTTCAAAAGATTGTGTTAAATTTCAGACAATAATTATAATAAGAGAAATTTTTAGTGATTTCTGTTGATGAAGAATTTTTTAGAAATCACATAAAAAAAAATTGAATTCCAAAACTTTTAATTGAAAAATGCTTTCAGATAATTAAAATTTCGAAACATATTATAAAAAATAATTAAAAATAATTTGAAATTTTAGCAAATAATTAAATTTTAAGTGATTATGAATTAAAAAATTTTGCTAATTTTTTTTTTAATTTTTTTAAATTTATAAACAATTATTAAATTTCTACAAAAATTTAATTAAAAAATAGTGTAAGATAATTGAATTTGTAAAGACTTTCATTAAAATTAGGGACGCATGATTATATTCTAAAAATCATTATTTAGAATTGTTATTTTATGGAATTTCATTTGTTATAATTAATTTTGAGCCGAATTTTTATTTGTCCGAATTAGTATTTTGCAGAATTTTTATCAAAACGATTTTAAATATTACAGAATTTTTATATAACCGAAAATTCACTTTACAGAATTTTTATTTCTTCAAGTTTTTATTTGTCAAAATTTTTGTTTGCTCGAATTTTCATTTAACATAATAGGCATTTTCAAGAATTTTTATTGGGTAGAATTTCATTGCATAGAATTTTCTTTTAGATGAATTTTCATTTGTTCGAATTATTATTTGATACAATTTCCATATAATCGATTTTTCATACTCTACAGAATTTTTACTTAACCGAAAAATCAGTTAACAGAATTTCTAAATTGATAAAATTTTCATTTGTCCGAAATTGCAAATGGCCGAACAAACAATCGACAGAAATATTTTGGCGCGATTTTTCTGTCGATTGTTTATTCGGCCATTTGCAAATTGGAAAAAATAAAAATTCTATCAATTAGAAATTATGTTAAATGATTTTTCGCGGTTAAATAAAAATTCTATAGTATGAAAAATCGGTTATATGGAAATTATGTCAAATAATAATTCGAACAAATGAAAATTCATCTGAAAGAATAAAATGAAAATTCCATCCAATGAAATTCTACCCAATAAAAATTCTTTAAAATGCCTATTATGTTAAATGAAAATTCGAATAAATATAAATTCTGTGAAGTGAATTTTAGGTTATTTAAAAATTCGGCTCAATAATAATTAACGAAGCTGAAGTACGCAACGTTTATATAAACGATTTTTAAAGAAATAATTTTTAAAAATTTTTAATTCTATAATTTTTTGCCTAAAAAATATTTCTTGTAGTTTTCATTAATCAACAAAATTATAAAAAAATATTTTTTAGGCAAAAAATTATAGAATTTAAAATTTTTTTAAATTATTTCTTTAAAAATCGTTTATATAAACGTTGCGTACATCAGCTTCGTAATAATTATGACTAATAAAATTCCATAAAATGACAATTCTAACTAATGATTTTTAGAACATAATAATACGTCCCTAAAATTATTAAAAAATAATTCATAGTGAAAATAATTGGAAAATAATTTAGTGAAGAATTTTAATTAAAAATTTGTTAAATAATTGAAATAAAGAAGATCTGAAGAGGATCTGTATTGTATACTAAAAAAACGTATTTTGTTAAAAAAACATTTTTTTTTAAATTTAAAAAAAGTCGCATTTTATTAAAATAAGTCGAAAAAAGTTGTATTCTTGAGAAAAAGTCAAAAAAAAAAAAAAAAAAAAATATCGTATAATCCAAGGCCTTTCAATGAACTTAAAATTTCACAAATGTAATAAAACTAAAATTTTTCAAAATATTCCAGCAATCAGTTTCAGTGGACTGCCCCTTAATGAAAATTCAAAATAATGAATTTAATTGCTTATTCAGACAGTTAGCAATGTTCTAGACGAAAATAGAGAAATAAATCTTACTTGATGCGCTGAGTGCTGGAGAATGTGTTGCAAGAACCAGTGGTCTAGTATCGTTACCCGAGTGAACAAACGTGACGGGCCTTACGTCATTGGATGAGGACTGAACAGCAAGGGCCAACGGCCTGTCGTTGTTGGACAAATTAGAATGCACAAACGTCACTCGGTTGTCGTTTGCCGTGGACGAGTGAACGACCAAAGCCACCGGTCTTGGCTCACTTCCAGAATTTGACTGCACGGCAATAAGTGGCCGCGTCTCATTATTCCCTCTGCTATCGTTTGCCGTGGACGAGTGAACGACCAAAGCCATAGGCCTTGGCTCATTTCCAGTATTTGACTGAACGGCGATAAGAGGCCGCGACTCATTATTGCCAGTTGTATGAGTCACCAATAATTGCCTTGTATCGCCTGGTATTACTCTTAAATTTGAGCCTAGATGCTGAAGTGTAGGCACAATTGTTGCCAATCCTTGGCTGGTGCTTAACATTTGCGCACTAATTGGTAAATGCAACTGTTGGGGTTGTTGTTGTTGTTGTGGTGGTGATTGTTGCTGAAACGATTGCTGTGATTGATGTACAATTGTTGGTGAAGTAGTCACTTTCTCCTAGAAGCATAAAACAAAAATATTCTTATTTAACTTAATTTAGAAAAAAGTGTGGGTACTTTTTTTTTCAAATTTTTAATGAAGAAAGTAATTGAAGGGTACCTGAATAGTGGTAGGGATATTAGGCGTTGATGCTCCAGGGCTGGAGCTGGCTGGTGGACTTTCTCTGGAACCTTGAGCAAGGTTTAGACCTTGTGTTTGACATACGACCGCAGCAGTGGCTACTTGATTATGAATGTTGGAAGTTGAGCTCGTCGTTTGAAGTGTTTGGGGTGAGCTGGCAGTTGCTGCACTACTCAAACTACTTGTACTACTGTACCTCGTTCCGCCTCGAGCGAGACCAGTCACGTCTACGTCCATACTTTCTGAAACTGCAAAACAAAAAAAAAATTTTCAAACAAAAATTCATTTTTTTTTTTTAAATACCTATGTAAAAAAGAAATTTTCAATAAAATTAAAATCAATCTATAATTTTTTGAGAATATTTCTTTTAAAGTATTTTTTTTCGAAATTTTCTTTATGTACCACATTTTTTCTATGGTTATCTTCATTAAATAAAAATGTTTATCAAAATCTTAATCAAGAAATATATTTTTTTTTCATTTCTTTGTTAATTATTTTTTTTTTTCTCGTTTCTTTTCTCATTTAATAAAAAAAAAGAATGAACGTACCATTTTTTGAAACAACAGTATCGACTACAGAATTTTGTTCTGGTAATAAGGTGCTGAAATCGATATGATCCCATGTAGCTGCAAGATCTTTTTTCAAAGCTACCAGCCTTTGTTGAGCTGCAATTTTCTCTCTCGCCAACTTTTCCATCTCGTGCTCATAATCTCGTTCCTTTTTTCTTAAAGCCTGTAAAAGAAATTTTACAGTTAACATTTTATTTTTTTTTTAATATTACAATATATATTTTTATATTCATTACAATTACGTAATTATTACGTCGTACACTTATATATATATATATATATATATATATATATATATTGCTATAATTTATATAATCATGAAATTTTTCCTTTTAAATAATACAGTTATATTTAGGTAAAAATTGTCTGGTGTAAATTATACCTGGTTTAATAGGAGTTATGCTTGTGATAATTATAATATTACAAATTTATAATGAAGCTTATATAAAAGTTTATTGTGATTAAATAAATCAATATTATTCAAAAAGATTTGCGCAATTTGAAAAACGTGATTTATTATAAAATTATAAATATGATTTCTATAATCAACGAGGATTAATTAACTGAATTTGATTCTGTGTCGTTTTTCAAAGTTTGATTCAATCTTAAAGTTTTATGCCAATTTATTATTAAATATGTATTATTGATTCAAACTTGATACAAAAATAATTTGTAATACAATTAAAACAAAAAGTTTATAAAATTTTATTAGAAAAAAAAAAACTTTTCCATCACTCAAAAACTTATTAGTTGACATATTAATAAAAAAAAAATTTGTAAAAAATGAAAGAAATTAGGTACAATCAGGTCTTGATAATTTTGAAATTGAGTTAAAATACGTTTTTTAATTTAATTTGACTTTTTGCTATGAATTTTAATTAAATTTTACCTATGAGTTGGTAAAAAAAAATTTCTTTACTAACAGATTAGTAAAATTTAATTGAATCATAGCAGAAAAAAAACCAGCCACTAATTTAAATTAATTAATATTTATACTAATTCAAATTTAGAGATAATAATTATTTGTATGAACCAAAAAATTGTAATGAAAATAATAATAATAATAATAATAATAATAATAATTCGGATCTATAATTTTTGTATTTGAAACAAATGTCATTTAATTGAGTAAAAAAAATTTAGGATGAAAAATTATACTTAGAGAAATATTTTGTTTGAAACAAATATATAAATTTTTTTTTATATTTACACAATTTTTTAGTTCTTTCAAACAAAAATTGTTTAATTCAAATAAATACTTAATTATAATGTAAATATTTTTTCGATTCAAATAAATATTTACTTGATCTAAATAAATATTTATTTAAACTAAATAAACGTTTTGTTTATTCTAATAAATTTTTCGACTAAAAAAATAATTTGATTCAAATAAAATTTTAGTTGATTCAATTAAAAGTTAAGTTAACTATAGAAAGGAATAAAAATTTATTTGGTCGATTCAATCAAGATTTGGTTGTTTCAAAATAAAAATTTTTACAATTAGGGTAAATGCACTAATTGCAGCGCGATTCGAGTCAAAACACATTCGAAATAGAAAATTCGACATTTCTATTGTATAAACTCAATTAAAGACTTTAAAAGCTTATGTTATTAAGATATTAAAAAAAATTAACTTTATAAAAATCGATTATTTAAACAAATATAAGAAATTAAAACTAATACCGTCATTTTTTATTGCGGCGCGTTTGTATCAATATCGGTGACCAAAATTACGTGTACTTTGAAGACACTTTGCCCGCCGAAATTGGAGCCAATGAAAAAAAAAAAAATGTTTCAAATGCGACGCGGAAAAAAAAATTTCATCTCAAATAATTAAATTAATAATTGTTTAAAGGTGAATCTTTATAAGTAATTGTATCAAAAAAAGAATGAAATAATTTTTTTTAATCATTTGGCAACAGTTATATTAAATATATTAGTAATAATAGTTTTTTTGTATGAACGCGCCGTAATTGATGCACTCGCCGTAATTGGTACACTTACCCTATCAATTTTTTTCATACAAAAATTTTTTTTTATTAATTTATAACATTTTTTTTCTAATTTTTCATAACAGCATAATTTTATTTTTTCAATATTACTATCAAAAAATAAATTACCATATAAAAAAGCAAAGAAAAAAAAATTATATCAGTTTTTTTGTTAAATTAAATAAATGAATAGGAGTCATTAGTTAAAAGAAAGAAAAAAAACAAAAAATTTGTATTATTAAAGAATGAATGTAATGTAGATTGTGATATTATAGCTTTCACTAATTTTTTTATTCCAACTTCTCTTTGCCTTCTCTCTTTACCATTGTAGAACACGTGGCAAGGCATGCTGGCACGAGGTGAAGGAAGACCTTATCGCACGTGGTGCAGTTTGCACGTTAAAGAGGGGTTTTCAATGCAAGTGGTGGGGAGAGCGAGACGAGAGAAAGAGGAGAAATCCACACGAAGGTAGGAGCAATAAAGGTGGGGGGAAGGTCGCTGGGTCTTTAAAACGCATGCGCTAGTCACATTGAAACACGTGGTCTTCTTGCGGGTAAATGTAGCTCTCTCTCTTGGAGGAAGAAGCTGTCTGGTAACGAGCCTTGAAGGTTTTTTTTATATTCGTTAAATCGAGACTCAACAACCTTCGCCAACTTGCACGTGCCTGTTTTCCATACTAATCGTTTTTTCATTTGCAATTTTTTTTTTTTTTTTTTTTTTTTTATTAATATTCTTTCTTCATCTCATTTCTTTACGTAATGCATAATTCCCCGCGCACGATAAACAAAAGATATCGCGCAAAATTTCAGATTTCCTTCAACAATATTAGAATTTTTTTTTTTTTTTTACAATTTTTTCTGATCATTTTTATTTTTATTGAAAATATTACTTTTTTTCGATATAATTTTTTTTTGTAAAAAAAAAAAAAAATATTCTCAGAGGAAAATTGTTGCTAAAAGAAGAATTTAATTATATTTTTTGTTATCAATATCAGATTCTCGTGAATTTGTACTTTTGGCTCGTTTTTGAGGATAAAAAAATTTTTTTCAGTGCCGACGAGTGTATAAATAACGAAATATGGCAATTGTGGTGGAAGGGGATTTCTTGAACAGAAAATGATGGCAGTGTTTAACGAAAATGTCATTTTTAGCTCGCGCAATGTAATTTGATACAGATGATCTAGAAAATCGCCCACACACACACAACAACCACCTGAGGGGATATTTGTCAAAAAGGCGAGTTTAACTTTTCGGAGTTTTGTACGAAATTAATTTATCAATTTATTTTTATACACCTAATATTTAATTATATAATTTATATTATATTTATAATTTTACAAAATATTATTTAGCCTAATTTATTTTAAAAGTGTTTTTATTTTTCTATCAACTAATATTAATATTGTCTATTGCGTCCAGTCACCCATCAAAGTACTAGCCCCACTTAAGGTTGCTTATCCTCGTCGATAGCAAGCGGTTTATGTACAATAAATTAAATTATTATAGTATAATAATCTTTGTATTCATTCCGTCAGTCATTCACATTTTCTTAGTACTTGATTTTTCTCATTATTATTAGATTATATATACATATATATCTTTACTTTGATAATTAGGGTTCTCGACGGTTTCTACCTGAAATTTTTGTTGTCAAAACAGCTTTTGGTTGAGGGTTCATAAGATGGTCGATGACCTTTTAAATACTGTAATGAAAGGGGTCGCTGAAACCGTATATGACCATGAAAATTTTTTTTGACGACCCATTTTCCCGCAACCACCCCCTTGCACCTACTCACGGGGGTTGGAGTTTCAAAAAAAAAAATCGAGTAGTGTGTCAATTCCAATGTTTTTTGGGTCGCTTAATCCGAAAAATACCACTAAAAACAAATCCTTAACCCCCTACAACCCCTGGGAGGGGGTTGGAATTTCATTGTTCACGAAAAGTCGAGTACGGTGTGTAATCCTATGTTTTTTGGGCCGCTTAATCCGAAAAATACCACTAAAAACAAAAAAATCGAGTATTGTGTCAATTCCAATGTTTTTTGGGTCGCTTAATCCGAAAAATACCACTAAAAACAAATCCTTAACCCCCTACAACCCCTGGGAGGGGGTTGGAATTTCATTGTTCACGAAAAGTCGAGTACGGTGTGTAATCCTATGTTTTTTGGGCCGCTTAATCCGAAAAATACCACTAAAAACAAAAAAATCGAGTATTGTGTCAATTCCAATGTTTTTTGGGTCGCTTAATCCGAAAAATACCACTAAAAACAAATCCTTAACCCCCTACAACCCCCTGAGAAGGGGTTGGAATTTCAATTTTTACAAAAAGTCGAGTACGGTATCTATTCCTATGTTTTTTTGGTCGCTGAAATCAAAAAACACCAACAAAAACACATTCTTTACCCTTTTAACCCCCTACAACCCCTGGAGAGGGTTGGAATTTCATTGTTCACGAAAAGTCGAGTACGGTGTTTAATCCTATGTTTTTTGGGTCGCTTAATCCGAAAAATACCACTAAAAACAAAAAAATCGAGTAGTGTGTCAATTCCAATGTTTTTTGGGTCGCTTAATCCGAAAAATACCACTAAAAACAAATCCTTAACCCCCTATAACCCCCTGAGAAGGGGTTGGAATTTCAATTTTTACAAAAAGTCGAGTACGGTATCTATTCCTATGTTTTTTTGGTCGCTGCACAGTGGCCGATTTCCCGAAAAACCTGGCCAAAAGTCAAAAAATTTTTTTTAGAAATTTATACTTTTTATTGTTGAATATTATAAAGGAGGGTTCACTGCATAATTTTGCGAAAAAAAATTACACTTTTTTTATCACCAATTTATTATGTGAACAAGTAAAAGTGATCTTTGCCAGAGATTTACTCAGAACGTTTCATAACTATAAATTTTCGTCACAGTTAAAATAGTGAAAATATACTAATATACAGCAGATTTTTGAATATCTTTTTTTGGGAATTATTAACAAAGGTGTATGAAATATGTTGAATGTATTTATAATCACATTTAAAACGTACAGTTTTTAAAAAATGACATTAAACATCGCTATTCATGACGACGATTTTTGTATTGTTTTATCAACGTAAATCATGAAAATAGTTGTGAAATCCACCGATATCCGCGCTCTACCTGGTATTATCATAAACTAGAATATATTTTTAA